CCCCAAAACCCCAAAACCCCAAAACCCCAAAACCCCGAGATATTTTAATAATACTGAATATTTTTAAGACCAGTTTTTTTCTTCATCAATATTATCAGGAATGTAGTCGAGCATTATAACTGCATCACCAGCCACACTGACAATCACGCTGTATTCTTGCTCCTTCGGGAATATTTGGAGGGACTCTACTTTGTAGTTTATGATTGTGTTGCAGTTGAGAGATTTTGCTTTAGCTCTTAGAAGGTCATTCACCTGGTTGAAGCATGACTCAATTTCGTAGCTAGATGTGAGTCAAAGAATTACTTGTTAATCTCAATGTATAAATGAGCGTCAATGTATCCTTTATATTCCAATATCTTCTTTCCTGGGATAAATGATGGAATGAAAATATCTAAAATTATTCGCTTTATTACCAATTTCACAAAAAGATTCGAGTGGATTATGGATTTTCCTTTTGATCGATCTTTTCCTTCTCCAAAGACACCCAAAAATTGAATGTTCTTTGATTATAAATGGTTCTCTGTGGTCATCTTTCCCAGGACTTGTTTCGATTTGGTTGACGTCCAATACATCACTAAAGGATTAGGAATCTTTCTTATACCATTGAACTTTGTTATTTATGCATATACTCAAGTTGTTCATTATGATGGAGGAGGCAATCCTCATTGCCTACCCATCCCATACAAATGACACAGACATGGACTTCATTTTTCTCATCAATGTTAAGTATCACTTTAAAGGAGCTTAGGATAATCTTGAGGTTGGATTTCTACAGAATTAGTCATGCCATACATTCAATGTAGGTTCTGTCTTTTTATCCTCGTATTTTCCTTGTTTTTTCATACTTTTTGATCGAGGTTGCCGAGTGGCCATTTCTCCTTTAAACTCCTCCTTTTCAGATTTTGAGGTCTCCAAAATGGTGTCCTTGAGATATTTAATGGCTTTGGTATAGACCAAGTTCATCTCACTGATGAATTCTTGGTGCTTTTGATACGATGGAGTGTGACTATCACCAGTGAACTGGAATTTGAAGGACTGTATCATTAGTTTTGGCTTTCATTTTAGACTATGCATGTTTGGAAATATCTCGCTTGTGAAAATCTTCACGTCTTTTGGAGTGATCGGGTCTAAGAGAGTTACGAATGAATCAAGTTCTCCAAAATCTTCTATTTCAATCACAAAAGTTGAGTTTGAGAGTTGCTTAGCGTCTATAAGTTCCTGTATTTCTTTATCTCTTTGTTTTATTAACGATTTATCTTTGAAAATTTCAAAGTAATCTTGAGTGTTTTTAGCATTAGACTTTGTATCATTTTCAGGGTTTTCGATATTTCTGATTTTTGGAGCCAAGCTGAAGGGTAATGCAGAAAGAGTTTTAAAAGGCTGTGCTCCACCATTTTCATCACTAATTTTAAGATTCTGAAGCTCTATTTGTTGATTATTACCAACTCACCAAGCAATTTTTCGTCCTCATCAACCTGGGTTGTGCGGATAGGGGCGCTGATCATTTCTTTCTCTTCTTCGTCAAAAATATTTTGGCCTCTATCTTTAAGTTCATCCTTTGTTAAGGAATCGCTAAATTATTAGTAGAATTTTACTGTTCGTGTTTTTCAGTGATTGTCGAGAACCTTTTTCCTGAGTTAGGGATGTCAACTTGAACATTATTGGGGGATGCAATGCTGTTATTTTAAGTCTAACTTTGCCATTTGAGGAGACTCATCTTCATGCTGTTCAAGGAGCTTGTCTCCAAACCCCCCTGAGATAATTTGGGAGATACTCTTCTTGGACAAGTTTTGGTACTCAGCTAGGCTTAGTTTTCTTGGCTTGAGCTTGGTACTATGTGCAATAACTGATCCTTCGATCGGAATCTGGGTAAGATTAAGATAGCTATTTTAAGTTAACAAAAGTACTCATATAATCTTCTCCTTTTAGAAATCCTTGAAAGTTGGTTGAATCATTTAGACAATTGCTCTACTTCCTTAGCTTCTTTGCTAAATTTGGCCTCCATTTTCCCCTTCTTGAGTCTAATTGAAATCTCACTAGGGAGTGGAAGAGCTGTCAATCTCATTGCTGTGGCTTGAGCAATTCCAAATATGAATTTGTCGCCAATAAGAATTTTTACTCTGAATGAGAATAGAGCATTCATACTATATATTTTCATTTTATTTAACTATCTGGGAATGTAAGTAATACTCAGTGAAGAGGATTTTTTCTGAGATTTGGAGTGCATTAGTCTCTCCCCTTTCGCTCCGTTTCATTTTGATGACCTTAGCTTCAAGTTGCATTGGTTCTCCAATATATTCGAGCCCACTGAGAGGTTCTAGCGTTGTAATGATGATTTCAGGGACATATCCCTGACCTCATTCTTGGCAAATATATTTCTTCATTGTTGAAATGTGGAGAAATTTGCAAATTGAATATTTCTTAAAAATTTTAGGGTCAATAACCACACCTGTGTCACTACTAACCATTTGTCTTGGGCTGGATTTGTGATCTTTTGAGACTGCTTTGCTGAGCTTATTTTTGCTTCTTTTTAGACAATTTTGACTTCTTGCTATTACCTTCAGACGGTTCTTTAATGTTCACAGCTGTTCCTATTGCAGAAATTAAGATGACCTCTTCTGAGATATCGAGTGTTTCTTTGTAGCCCATTATGGTGTTACAGCTGAGAGCGATGGCATGTTGTCTCATTTCTTCTCGTACAGCCACCCACCAAGAATCTATCTCTCCTTGTGTAGTTTTAGAAGATAGTAGTTTGACCGATCTAGAGCTAACTAGAGATACATATCTTAGTGTGAGAGGATCAACCCTATTTATGATAACTTCGAGAATCTTACTTGTTTCATGTGTAAAAAGTCACATTTCTGATCGCTAATTCAAGAGGAGGGGGAGAAGAAATCACCAAATTTCCAGAAACAGGGACGATACTACCCATTAAAGGACTAGTCTCAGGATTATCATCAACTTTCAGACTTTCCTCCTTATGCTCTTCAAAATGGGCCATAAGAGACTCATCATCAGAGTCTCCTCTCTTTGTTAAGAACGCAATAGTGCCGTACCCTCTGATGCTTAGCTTCTTTGTATTCTTAAAATCATATTTGACATCTTGATTGTAACCAATGACTGCATTTCCTCCGCTGCCTATGGTTTAAATAGGGTTCTTACTAATGACTCTTTTAGCTATGTTCTTGCGGACCTCCTGGCAAGCTTCGATGATGGTCTTCCTGAGGTCTAACACTTGATTGCATAAACTTACTATCTTCATTAGACTTAGTCACATATTTTGAAGATTGGTATTTTTGCGCTAAATTTATGAATCAATGGGATTTTACAGATTGCTCCTCTTTTTCTATCTGAAATTGTTGCTAGTTCTTCTACGAATTCTATCATTTTGCAGGTGTAAATTTCTGTATCTGGTGCTGATTGAGAAGAGAAGAAGTTTATCAGAAGAGAGGAAACTAGCCTGCTCCCGTCGTAGTATGGATTTTCAGGTAAAATTTGTATGTTTCTGAGCTGATTTTCTTCCCTCACCAGCTTGAGTTTGAGGAAGAGCTCCCCTCTAATCCCTTCTGCTGGGTGGAATATGGGGTATTGGCATTGAAATTTAATCTCTTGTTTGTCATCTGCTCTGAAATAAGTCCCTAGTTCAATGTATACTGTTCCTATTAAGGAAGCTGACGAGAACACGTAGAAACTCAGAATAGACTTGTTATACAACGAGAAAGAGTTAGAGATATCCATTTTGCTTAGACTGTTTAAATCTTGAGGGTAGTCCTGTAAATCAGCATCATAAATTCCTTCATAAGAGAAAGATTCGTTCCATTCTGGATCAAGGCTACCTATATTGTAATTTAAATGATCGAAAAACTCTCCTTCTTAGTAAAACTTACCTTTTATAACATTGGTTTTCTTGATACTACCATCAAACCAGTGTATTTCTACATAAGCATCAGTGGTGTTTCTCTTCCGGTCCATCATTGGCAGATTCTTAGCTTTCTTGACTTCTCAGGTAACTTTTGATAACATCTTTGAGACAGAATAATTTATAATAAATAATTCACTACGATCATAATATTCTGGGGTTTTGGGGTTTTGGGGTTTTGGGGTTTTGGGGTTTTGGGG